GGTCTGCCGGTGAGAAAGGTTTGGAAGACAGCCTTCCATAGGCCAACTTCAGACCCCATGCAGAGTAGGACCAGCCTAAATCTACTCTGTAGTAAAACCCCTTAGTCTCATGCAGTGGACAGGTAAGAAGTGTGCTAACAACAACTAACAACTCTATCCAGTGATCCACTCTTCTAACACCCAATTATTTGCTAGCGTAGAACTTAGCCTCTGAACACGGATAAAGACGAGGCTCTGGGAATCACACTGTCAGCACCACCTCAGTGAGCTCCAGTGGCCCCTCTTCATCAAGCCTGGGCCCCTTTGGGCCCCCATGCATTCAAAGCAGCACCTCTTCACTACAAGGCAGGGCTGTTCACATGGCCAGGCGGACGGGGAACACTGCTCACACAAAGCAGCATCAGACTCTGCAGATGACCGACACACACAAGATTACACACACTCACCTGCCTGGGTCCAGACAATCTGCACAAGTTAACCACGCGTGATGAAGGGCCTCAGTACTGCTGGCAATGAACATTTTTTTAGTGACTTTAATTTAGTGCACCCACAGGAATCGTGTGAATGTGCTTTTGTGAGAACCACTGTAAGAACTAACAATGACCTAGGGGTTTTTTTTTTGTAACACTTGCAACCAAGAGAGTGCAAACATGAAAGCACACTTCCCAAATTTGTATGGTACTGTACAGAGTTACACAGCTGTGTCTGATTCATGTGGTTTTGATCCCTTAGCCAAAACTTTTCTACAAGTGACATGGTGACACTGAAAACAGAATTATTCATGTCCAACTATTTTGTATTTCTAGGGACTTATCCAGCACAGAAGTCAGTCGTACAGCTTTGTATTTCCCTTGAACCATATGAAGTGTTGATAAAAAAAAAACTTGGCATTTGCCAACTTTCATTTAAGAAGCAGCAATTTAGCTGTTTCACCAACAAATTCTTTTGTGACCACTGCTTTGTTCTGATAATCTAGAAAAGTTACCCTAGTTTGTCCTGAATAATATATGATGCACAGCACACTACATTTACCACTTTTTACACAAGCCTTCCCTGCCCAGTAGTACCCATGACTTATGGTAAAGAAACAGCAAAAATCTTGCAAGTAAAATATTAGTTACGGAGCCCCTTGTGCTTGTTCCATTGGGTCAATGTCCACACCTCTACAGTTCCTCCAACTTCAGCTCTGAGGCAGTATCAGGGACAAATGTAATGTAAGGCAGAGAATATTGATAACTTTCCTCATGGAAGCTGAGCTACTGAAAATTTAAGAGCAGAGAGATTTAAGCTTTAAGTACTACTGGTTCACATATTAAACCATGCACTGCTAGTATGGAGTAAGATGGAGAGGCAGGGTGCCTGTCTGTAGAGGTGTCAGGAAATTCACATGGGTGCCATTTTGCAGAACATCCTAGGAACAACCTGCTACACAAAACAGAACTTATTTCCCTAAACCTCCCAACCTACACAAGGTGGACAGCTTTGTCCTCCCTGTGTGTATACATGCACATATACATGTACTGATCTAAGCTTGCCACACACCAAGTTTCCAGTTTTTGGAAGTATCTTCATACTGAATTACTTGTAAATTTATGTTTGGGGGAAGCAAATGAGGCAATTAAAAATTTTAAGTGACAGAACTTCAGTACTAGGTTTTTGAAGGTATTTCTCAATCCACTTCAAACTGGTTTTGTTAGTTTAAATCCATCCTAGTTCTCACACAATTTCTCCCACTGCTGTAGCTGGTGGCACTGAACTCTCCATACACACACACAGACACACATTCTGGTGCACAGTCGTGAACTCAACAGTGAACAGAAAACTCGCTACTGAATCATTTTTTCAGTTTCTCTGAGGTACTTTGTTCTCTGTGGGACATTTTCCACCGTTTTGTATAATCCACTCAAAAACTCACTGGCAAGCCATTTGCTTTTGCACTTCTCCAGACCCATGGATGTTACCTAGGTCAGGAAGTCTTAAGGGCCCAGACTAAGCCTCCCAGTCTGAGCAGGTAACAGAGGCCATAATATTGAGTTATTCTTTTCCTGCTCTCATCACTTCAGTGTTCTAGTTTCTGGCACACCATTATGAAGAGCTGCTATACAAGGTAAAAATATAAGACCATGGATCAGCCCATGTCCTGGAGGACAACCACCTCCTAAGACAGTGGCCCTACAACACCCTTTCCTGGAGGATTACTATGAAGACACCATCCCAGAAATGCCCCTTAAACTCCTTTTCAGAAAGTAGAGAAACTGTACAGAAGTCTCTGTGCTCCAGCAGATGGAAAACACAGCTCTTCTAGCTACACAAGTCTCTCTACAGCAGAAATGACTGTAGAGTCTCCAGAGTGGGACACAGGAGAGTTAACACAGTTTTGGAGAGTGAACTTCATCTTCAGGGGAGACTTGTCCTCTTGACAAATCTTCATTCTTTCTGGGAGTAAATACTCTAAGTAATGGGAGGAAGCTTCCAGAGGGGATAGGAGCAGAAAACAGGGCTAAAATCGAGGCCCTTTCTGCACAAAATACCTCCATTTCTCAAAGAAATTTTTACCACGTGCCTTGGGATTGCACTTTTAAGCAGCCTGCTCAAAGTCAGTTAAGATAAAGTGAGGAAAACATTAGAAGAATCAATCTCAAAGGGCCGTGTTTACACCCTGAGACCATGCCCAGTCTTGAGAACAGGCTGTGGGGAGAGGAAAAAGTGAGAGGGAATTAAAAACCAAAGCCTTTAAGCATTCCTACTGAGGATCAAACGAATGAGGTTTTAGCCAACATGCTATTAAAATTCTTTCTTTGGTATGAACAAAGTTTGTACTACCAATTACAGAAACATTCAAGCTCTTAAAACAACAGAAGTCTCCTCCACCTCCCAATCACTGCCTCTTTATGGCTGCAAAATGAAATGAAACAATATTCCCGAAGTTAATAGCTCCTCCTCCCTGCTGCAGCACCAAGTCCCCTGAAAAGCAGAATCCTTTGACAATCTTGCAAAGGTTCCCTGTTACTATCAACCATGGACAAACTCTACTGGTGCCACTACTGAATGTCACATTGAATCACAGCAAACTGCAAAAGTCACACGGATTCACACTGATCTCCCTCAGAAAAAAGGGCCCAACAGTGAACCATCCTAAGATTACCAGATTAACTCCAATCTGATGGTGATCAACAGATTCAACACAAGCTGCATACAGAACAGGAGGAAGCTTCCAGTAAAACAGCTGCCTGAAAAAATCAGTTTGACCAAGCAGTCAATCAGCACTGCTGAATCACAAATATGGGCAGGCAGATCAGCATACACACATACTAAGTAGTCTAGAAATGTCTGCACAACAGGAGAGAAGTATACTGAATTAGACAGGACACTAGGAAGGCAATGAAACAGAGCAGGGAAATCAAATCCTCATAGACACTGTTGTTCCAGTCAGCTGGCTGAGTAATCGTAGGTGGTTATAAAGGAGACGGGATGGACAAGGAAAGAAAACAACCAAACTTCTCACTGCTATGAAGTTTTCATGACATAGCTCTATGGAAGCAGGTAATTAACACAGACAGTTCAGAGAAGTCACAGCAAACTAATAAAAATGGCTCTGTGGTCTCTGCTGTAACAGCAGCATGACTGGAAGGCACGAATACTGACACAAGCTGGCTCAACAGTTGTAGTTAAGACACACCAACTAAGATCCAGCAGCATACTTGATGAGATAAAGGAGCAGACACTGCAGAAAGCATTCCTGACCAGTGATGACTGGAAAAGGCACTGCACAGAGTTCACAGCTGAAGCCTATAGCCTGCCTTCCAATTTATAAGCCTACAATTTATCTGAATCTGCAGTTGAATTCAGTTGCTTGCATATAGGTGTCTTAACTTCTGATACCAGTATTTCCCACACACCTACACGGGGCTGGCAAACATGATGCAAGACTGTGCCCTTCCAGACTGGCAGCTAGAGGCCAAACAGGGAATCCTGACTATCCCAAGCAACACTGATAAAACGTTTTGGCAACTGAATGAAGCTCCTCCTCCAAGCTCAGTAAAGAATATGCAAATAAGATTTTAGTAATAGTAGTCACCTCCAATACCACTTATAACTTATTTTTATTTTTAAACCAGAAACTTCTTAACTTTCAGCTCACTTGTTTCACTCCCTGCCCAGCACAAGATGGTAAGCTTTTCGAGGCCTCTGTTAAGATGCTCCCCCTGCTCTTACTGCTGAAAAGCCATTATTAAAACAGGTTTAAAACTTGTTTTACAAGCCTCTCACCCAGAGAGGCTGTGGCCCTTTATTGCTATCGGCAAAGCCTTTCCACAAGGTGGCATATTCTCAAGGGGCCCATATGTTACAGTCAGTTCAGCTAAAAAAAGTGTTTGACTTTAGTTAAAAAAAAAAAAAAAAAAACAAACAACAAAACCCCACCACACCAAAAAAACACATCCAACAAAAAATAAACGAGGAAAGTTGCTCTTTTAGTCAGGAGTTTCAGCATGCATTCAGAACACAACAGAATGCAAAAGCCACAATGGAGAATAGGGCTAAGTTTAGGTACTTCTCTTCAGTAGGTGTAGACAAGAGACGAACAAAGAGCAACTTCTAAACATTATTCTTGCACTACCCAAGTTCAGGCAGGCCAGGATATCATAAGCTACGTCCTCGGAGAATTTTCAAGAATTGCTCTGCATACCAGTGAGGTGTGGGAGCTGTACGTGACCAGCTCTGCCAAAGAGCTCTGAATAGCCACACTGCTGTTACACCCATTCCTCTTCCACTCCAACACAGGATCCGAGGCGTAGCGGGAGGAGGTGCCTACAGCTCCCTTACAAGACCAAGCAGCTCTACTTCACTCCAAAAAGATTTAAAGAAGCATCTAGTCACTAAACTTTATCTGCCTTGTAATGATAAGGTGCAACAGATATCACAGCGCCATTTCTCAATGACAAAAAAAGGCTGTTTCACAGTGTTTATTTACATGCTACAGTAGGGGTCGCAGAACTTACCTCCATTTGGAGAGCAGCTGTGTCCTGATCATAGTGCCGCATGATGTTTGGGAAAAAAGTTCATTCCTGAACATCTGGATATAGTAATTGGCTCACACGTGAATAAACTGTGCCCTTGCACCACAGTTACAAGTAAACTGCAAGTTGCAGAGAACAGGAGTACTCCCATTTTGTCAGGATCTCCACTTCAGCACATAGCTCTGCTCAGTAGTCAGACAGACTGGCTTCGCACAAGGATGAAGCCACTCATCCTCATCCGCCGTTCCGGCACAGGGCAGGGGCACCACGGCACACAGACCACCAGAGAAAGTCCTCACCGCGGCGTCAGGTGCTTCCCCATCTCGGCTTGCCGCTGTTTAACCAAATCCCTCCTTCCTCCAGCCCGGACGCTGCAGAAGCGGGAAAAGCCAGAACAGAGTAATTAACGGCAGAGCCCAGCCGGCTTCCGAGGGCCGAACCCGGTCTCCGCACAGGCTCG